ACAAGGCCTGGGCCTTCCGCCTGCTGTGTGAGGCTGCTGACGAGCTGGTCGGGCGGCCGGGTCGGAGCCAGCCGAAGGACGAGGGAGCGCCGCAGGTGCCACAGCTGGAAATGACAGTGCCGGCCCAGTTTCTCACGCCAATGGATAAGTTGGCACGCACTCAAGCGCTTCTCATCTACCAGCAGATCCGCATGTTCGATGGCGATATTAGCCTACGCGCGCAGGCGGAGCACGACATGGGCGTGCTCGAGGACTGGCTCGGTGACCTCGAAAGGTACCGCGACAACCTCGCTGAGCAGTGGCTGCTCGAGGAGAGCACGCTCCGCGAGAGGCCGCCACGGTCTTGGGAACGGTGGATCTTTGCCGAGTGCGTGCGGCGGACTATCATGCTCGGCGCCGCGTTCATGGCCATTGTGAGCATGCTGAAGACGATAGGCACGGGCGAGCCGCCCGACCCGAGCCAGTTCGCGGCCGTGCACCGGTGGACGTCGTCCAAGTTTCTGTGGGAGGCCGACTCGCCCCTTAGCTTTATGACGGCGTGGCGCGAGAGGCGGCAGTACATTGTGCAGAACTTCTTCGTCGAGGAGCTGCCCAAGACGATGAAGGCTGCCGAGTTGGATAGCATGACCAGGCTTCTACTGACGTCGTGAGTCTCCATCCGCCCTGCCCTGTGTTGCCCCATTCTTTGGGCGAGATGGGGTTGGTTATTGGAACTGAAGTTTCTTGTGTACTAACTAATCTACAGGTTTATCGGCGTCGACGAGATGGAGCAGTGGATCAGCACCGGCGGTGTCTTCACCGAGAACATAGATCGCACAAGAATGTGAGACCGCGGGGCCAATGGTCCGGCGAGCGGATGTATTGATGGATGGACGAACAAACGAGGTCCAAACGACAAGGGTTGTCTACAGGTACATGTCTTGGAAGCGGGTGTTGGCTGGTCTCGTCTCGTTTTTTGGCTGTTGTTTTTCTTGTTTTTAGGTTTCGGGGACTGCGGTTCACACGTATCATGTCGTGTGTATTTGATGATTGATGCCTGACGTTCACTCTTCTTCCTTCTTTGCTGCCCCTGTCTGCCTGCCCTCCTGCTTGTCTGTCATCTGCTGCCTTGCGTGATCGGGGGTTGCTCAACCACGGGCATTTCGACTGCGAGACATGTTGATCTTCGGTTGGTCGGGAGGGTGTCTCTCGGGGACGGCTCGCGGAAGATGTTCCCTGAAACACACAAGTCGCGGATCCCGACGAAAAAGATCGGGCAGGCAAAGTGTCTCGGTAGTTGAGCGGCGTGAATGCGTGTGTGTGAGAGAGACAGAAACACACATTGATGGAGGTACCACATACACACAGTCTGTCTCTCTCTCCTTCTCTCTCGCGCGCGGGGTTTTGTTGGTTTACCGCCAGACCAACAACTGACCGCCGACGCGGGACGTTTCTCACATGTACATGAGATCAGTTCGACGATCATTCTGCTTCTCCCACACCCCTTCGGAGATGCCGCATTCGTGTGGTGCGCCTGGAACCACCCGTGCCATGTGCCGTGGTACTTTGCCGTTACTCCCTTGCCTTGCCTCGCCTTGTCTTGCCTCATTCTTCTCGGTGTTGGGGGAACAGATTGTTGGGGGCTTCGGTTGATTCCGCCTTCTTCCTCCGGGGCGAGATCTGCTGGTTGCGTTTTGCTGTCCTTGGGGTACTGGTCACATCAGGCGGGAAAGTCACCAGAAGGTCGAGGATGTCAAGGTATCTTCTGGGTTGGAAGTGCAGTCCAGGCGTGGATGAAAACAAGACGTGCTGCTGGGGAATGTGAAACGAAGCGGTACGAGTTTTTATTCAAGTACCATCGAGACGATTCTCTTGAGCCTGTCATCGCTCAATACTTCGGCTTGTCGCGTTCAACAGGAACATCGGACATCTGAGGGGCACGTCAACAGCCCAAGGCTGGACAATATACATAGTATTTGTATCACCGCGGAGGCAGATTCTTGGTCGTAATGTCATTGATTGATCATAACCACCCTCTGCTGCATGACGAGAGATACATGCTCAGCTATTCCATTCACCAAGAGCAAGAGAAAACCAACAGGCTAGCCAAGCCGGCTGAGCCCAAACCCAGGGTATCGTCGCAGAGATGGCCGGCCACCGACCCTCTTCCTCCTCTCACGCCTGTCGGACCAGGCTACGGCGATTTCTTTTCTTCACCCGCCGAGCCCTTAGATCACTTGACTGAGATGAAGCCCAGTCCTTCTCTCGCCCGCCTAACCGCCTTCTTGAGCGCTTGATCCTCTGCATCTGTCCACTTGACGCTCAACTGATCCCACTTCTTACCCGGGGTGTTGTATTCTTTGCGCCACTGTGCATGTACCGCCTGCATGCGCGCCATCTCGCGCGGATCGCCAGAGCCTGAATAAATCATGAAGGCCGTGCACTTGGGCAGAGCCGCGTGGATGCGCCCCAGCCTCTCCGTCAGGCGCGCAAGGCACCGCTCGAGGGGCGGCCTCCCATCGCCTGGCGCGGCTTCGGGCTCGACGTCGGGCGGCCCAGTGCCGCCATTCTCGCCGCGGTTGCGATTCCACCACCCCTGGTGCGCCTCGAGCTCGCGCATTCGTGCCCAGACAAAGTCGACGCCGCCGCCACGAATCTCGGCACCGTCGGGGTCGCCCTGGACGGCACGGATGACGCCCTCAGTGACCTCCTCGTCGGAACGGCAGCCGATCTGGTGAGTAGCGCCGGCGCCGGGACCCTTGGACGGATCGCCCCAGTCAACGGCGGCGCTTGTCTTGCCGCTGACGACACCACCCTGTGCTGCATCACCGCCCTGTGCCTTGTAGGATGTACCTGCCCGTGCGAGACGGCGGAAGAGATTCTCGCCTTGCGCATCGGAGCTGCCCCAGAGCTTGCCCTTTTCACACTTTTGGCGAGTCAGGTCGAGACAGGCGCGAGCATCCTCCACAGGGTTGTGGCCGTTGGCTCCGCCGCGCTGGATCTCACGGTTGAGGTACTTCTGTGTGAGCCACTTCAAGGAAGACTTGAGAGGCGGGCCGCGAGGGTGGGGGAAGATGAGGGACGTGTCGACGATGAATGGGTGAGAGAGGTGGAGAGCCTTGAGGTCAGACTCGAGTGAGTGTCCGATGAGAATGGTGCGCGGTGTAATGAGGTCGAGGAGCTTGTTCTGAATGTCGCGCAGTGTCGTGGTGACTGGCGCAAGCATGGCTTCGGTGATGCCAGAGAACTGGGTGACGTAGTTGGTAATGGGTTTGTCGGGCTTGACGAGCTCGTCCATAACGACCTCGCCAGACCAGGAGATGACGCTGATCCTGGTGAGGGAGTACTCGCTCTCGCCCGTCATGCACATTTCGCAGTCCAGAGCCAAGCATTCTCGGCCGGCTGTGACGCTGCCCTGTTCGACCTCTGCCTCGGGCACGTCAGCATCTTCGAGCTTGTCGACTCTCGTGACGACCCATCCGTCGGGTGCCTTGAACGCGGCGCGTCTGGCCTCATCGTCGATCAGGGCCGGATGAATAAGATGGCCGTTGGCCTCGAGCTCATCAACCGAGGCCAAGAATTCGGTGATGCGCGTTCGTTCGTTCTTCCAGCCGTTGGGCTCCTTGGCGGGCTTGACGCCCTTGTCCTTGGTCTTGGCAAGGGGCGCCGTCAGGAAGGTGCCCATGGGAGAGTGCAGCTTCATATGCTTATCGTCGCCGGGCGCCCTCACAGGCCACAGGTGGGGGAACATGTCGAGCCACGGCTGCAGGACGGGGGGGAGGTAGTCGGACTTGAGCAGGCGGGGGTAAAAGTCGTCGGGTGTCGTGATTGTCCGCTCCTCGTCCTTGGTGGAAGCCGAGTTGTATGTGCCAAAGTCCACCTTGCCGGTGAACATGGCTTCTTCGAGGCCGGGTATCATGAGGACGACAACCTTGCGGAACTGGGGTCGGTGTTGGACGGCAATCCATGTTGGCGCAGGGCCGTCGGCGAAGATGTAGAGGCAGAGGTCGCGTAGCTGGGAGACGTTGATCTTAGAAAACAGCTTGGCCGACGAGGCGAAAGCGATCGAAGGGTAGGAAGAAGAGCCTTCCTTGGGCACCTTCTTCAGTTTCTTGTTGGACCTTTCCACCTTTTGCCATCCACCGCCGTCTTGGTCCCCATCGTTGTCGTCGTGGGGCGCGGCGCGTTTGAGGCTGGCACCACTACTCGCGCTCTGATCAGAGCCAGAGCTCTCGCGGGCCAAAGTGGTTCCTTGCAACTTGCTGCTGGCTTCAGCCTCAGCCTCGGCGGCGGCGGCGGCTGCTTGGAGCTGGGCGATGCTGTCCGCGATACCGCCAGGGCTCAGAGCTGCTGTCGCAGCTTGAGCGGCAGCTTGTGCCTCGAGCTGGAGACGCTCAGCCTTTTGCTTTCTGTTCTTGCCCATGATGGCGGGGCGCGAAGTCGAGGGGAGACGGGGAGTCGCTAGAGCAGTGGCTGCCTCATGGGTGTTGAGGGCAAGGCCGGCGCAAGTGGTTGTTGCAGGTTGTAGGATGTTTGTTGGAGGCAAGCACGATGCGAATTGAGGTAAGGTAGGCACGGGCAATTTTTCTGCAGTGACGAAAGTGCAGGTACAACGGGGCGACAATGGGATGCGATTGCTTATTCTCGACCCAGATCCAGTTGGGGGCAGGTGGCAGGGGTGTGCGGCCTTCTAGCGCACTTCTTAGCGCCTTCCTTCTCACGCAACTTATCCAGAGCCTCAGGGCTGAGGCCGGCCTCTGATGCCCTCTTACAAGCCAGCCAGCTGACAAGCACTACGTGGATCTGAACCCTTGACTGTCCCAGCGTTTGACATTGAACTTGGCTTTGCTTCTCAGGCTCCTCCATGTCTGTCGCCAGAAGATGGAAACGAAGGGCAGCAGAAGATGCCTTGCAGAACTCGTGAGCGGCGGCCAGCCCACTCAACGCACACTGTCCATGTCACATCCCATCTTCTCTACTGCGAGAAGCACTCTCCTTCCCACGATGCACTTGTTCAAGGCTCAAAAATTACAGACGTTCTTGTCCTTGGCAAAGTCGACCGCCAGCACCGCCTTCCCCAGCTCTGCCAGCAATGCCATCGGCTTGACGACAGCGAAATCAAAGAATTGTGCCATCTGGCTGGGATCTGAAGCCCATGCCCTGATCATGCCGTTCTCACGGTCCCGTCCCGGGAGTTCCTCGATCTCTTGCAGCTGCTCCCGGTACAGGAGATAGAGCTCCCACTCCGGAGAGTGTCCCAGCGGTGCCCACTTGACGACGAGCACCAGCACCATCTGGCAAAGAGACATGAAGTCCACGTTGGACAGGGCGCTCGACTTGGCAGCCGGGAAATCGGTGTATTTCCCAACCTGTCGGGCAAACGAGGGAAGCGCGTCGCCCCCTGGTGGGATGCCCAGAAGAATATTGGCGACGCCCATTAGCCCCTGAACCCTCTGGACGTGGAAGGGCTCCACGTATTTGTAGGGGTCGCTCTCGACGGCAATCAGCGAGGCAACGGCCAGCGCGGCCTCGGGCTTGTCGACAGACTTGTAGTAGGTCAAGGCCTCTTGCAGGAAGTAGCTCGTCGGCTCGATAGCCCACCTGTCCGAGTCGCCATTCGTGGCCGAAGCGTATGAGTGGATGAGCTGGCGCCGCCTCTCGGGCAACGGGAAGTCTCTGGACGAGGGCAGAGTTCCGTAGACCCTTCGTTCCCGGCCGGCGGCCTGGGCGGTGCCTTGAAGATCTCCGTGAGTTTCGCGATACTTGTGTGGGGCTGGCACAACACTGAAACTGTTGAGCTTGATGGTTGAAGTAGGGGAGCGCGCGGCGAGCTGGTAGTTGTCGAGATCCTCCTTGCATCGCGTGCAGACGCATTGGAAGAAATACAGCTCAAGCGCCTTTCTCCTATGTTCAAGCGATTGAGTGCAGTCTGTCCTAGTAAGTTCATGTACAGCTAGGCTTCACGGGTAATACATACCAATATACGAAATCTCGATCTCCTCCCCCTCCTTGATATCTCTCAACGCGCGAAGAAACGCTCTCCGCCCACTGAACGCGACAATAGCATTCGGTACGCAAGAGTGGTTCACCATGGCCAAGGTCGTATCCAGAAAGAGCCCCTCTCCGGCTTCGCTCCTCGTAAACGCATTCGTCTTGATCTGCGCCTGTCAGCCAAAAGCACCTCCTCCGCCCACAAAACAAGAGAATAAACCTACCTTGCACAGCAGTTCGACGACCCTCCTCTCCGTCACCTCGACCGCCTTCCCCTTCCCCTTCGCCCCAGCAGCCACCCAGCCCCCCATGACCTTGGCCGGCACCTCCATGCCCGCCCACGCCTCCGCCCGCCCCTCGAACCTGTCCACATTGCCATCCAGCAGCGCCTCGACGGCCGCGAACTTCTCAGGCCACAGCAGCACCTGCATCGCCATCCGCACGTACGCCGGCACGGCGCCCTCGCCGCCCGCCGCCCGCAGCGCCGCGCACTCGCGCGCGTGCACGGACGACCAGTGGCTCTTCTGGCACGCGGCGTCGCAGTAGGCCGTCGCCTTGCAGGCCGTACAGCGGCGCGGCGTGGGCGGCGTCGCGAGGCAGCTGCTGCAGGTTGTGGTGCGGGCGGCCATGGGGGGCAGCGCGAGGGTTGCCGGCGCCGGCGACGGGAGGGGGGAGGAGGACGGCGCGGGAGTGGCAGGGCGCGCGGCTGGGGAGGGGAAGACGGCGATGAGGGCGCCTGGGGTGAGGGCGCGGGCTGCGTGCAGGGCGCGATGTTTAGAGGGTGATGTGCGGATTTGGTAGGCGGGGTCCATCTTGGGCGGGAGTCGCTGCCGATGCCGCGGGGCGTGAGCTGTTTGACTGGGATGATTCAAGAGGGAAGCTGTGCGGGTAGGCGGTGGCTTTTGTGGCACTATTTGCTGAATCTGACAGAGCGTGGTCGTCAGATTATGGCGTTCAGACTCTCGTTGGCTGTTAGTGGGATGGTGGATGAAGTTGTGATTTTTGGTGGAGGGGTATTTCGGTTGTTTCCAGGGGCGAAACAAAATCCGCGGTGGCTACGGACGGCCCCCCACTGAGCGTCGATCATCACGTTAAATTCAACGACCTTTCACATCGAAGTAGCACACCGATCATAGGATCATCTTTATTTCTCACCTGCCTCGAGGGAAGGCCATGTTCTCCCTGGCCTCTCGCCAGCAGCGACCCATCATACGCCGAATCCCCGCTTTGCCATTACCAAGTGTTCCTGAAAGTGAGGCGACGCAAGGAACGACCTCTTAATCCAAGAGGTTATCTGGCACAGGGCTACTGGAAACAGCAGCCTGCCTGCGTGGTTCACAGTTGTCGTTGCTTGCATTCTCCGCAATATCGATCAGATTTGTGTCCCCAATGGTGACAGGTACAGCCCTTGGGCGAGCAGCCTGGTTCGCTTGACCAAGCTTCTCGAGGCCAGCGTAGTTGCAGTCGAATACTGCCTGGTCCTCGGTGCATAAGTCGATCAGGTGTACATCCGACTTGGAATTGTTCTTGTTCGCTTGACCTAGCGTCTCGAGGCCAGCATAGTTGCAGTCGAATGCTGCCTGGTCCTCGGTGCATACGTCAATCAGGTGTACATCCGACTTGGCAGTGTTCTTGTTCGCTTCGACAGCCTGCTTAACGTGGTTGTACGAGACGCCGGCCCCTGGCCAGTGAAAGCGGGCGACGTCCTTGCCGTTCATGAGATCGTTGAGAGCACCTTGAAGTTGCTCCTCGGGCGTCCGCTTCGGCTCCCACCTCTTCTTTCTCTTCGCCGTCTGGTTCTTGAATCCGTGATGCTTCTGCTTGGAGCGGCTGATGTTGAGATCTCCCGTTTTGTCAGCAAGCTGACTGACAGTGTCAAGTTGTTCTGACAGAGCACCGACAGAGGCATCCATGATCGTTGTTGAGGAGCCTGCGCCATCTGGGTGAATGTCCTCAAGCCAGTTGGTTGTGGCGGTATTCGGGGCATCATCCTGATCAAAGTCGATAAGTGAGCCATTTTGGCTCTTGTGATAGAAGCTAGCAGCGACCTTGGATGGTACGCTCGTGGTCACATCAGCACTGGACTTGAACTTGAGAAGCTCGGCTGTGCGCTCCTGCTGCACCTGTTTCACCTGAAAGGCTGTTAGGGTTCAACAGTTGTCGTTCTTGCTTGCAACAATACGTACGGTGTCCTCGATGATAATGCGGAGCGTCTCCTGAGCCAGCTGCAATTTCTTTTCCTCGTGAGCACCCAGGTAGATGGTTGTGCCCTCGAGGTTGGATGAGATGTCGCAGCCAGTTCTTTTCCGGAACTGGTCCGAGCCTTCATACCGGCTCCAGCCGCGAGTCTCCATGATCTTGGCCAAGTTGATCGGGTAGTCCATTACGGCAAGGTCGCGATTGATCGCGCGGAACGGCATAACAGCGAAGGAGTCTGGATACCGAAGATGATCATACTCTGTAAAGTCAATCTTCTCTTGGTCTTTGACAAACTTTTCAGGCTTTGATCTATTGTCCTCCACAAGCTTGAGGACAATGGACACGACAAGATCCATATTCTTCTTGTAAGCAATAATCTTGAAGCAGCTGCTCTCAGGATCGAAAAGGATCTCTACCAACTGTGGACGAATTTGGTATGAGTGACTGATACATCTTGGAGACGCTGGGTTTGCGCAGAGCGCGAGATCAAGAGGTCATCGGCAATGGGTAGCTTGGGACGTGACTTACGCCGAGAGGACGCTTCGTGACCTTGACTTCCTCAATGATGCTGGCCGCCGTGGAGGGCAAGGGTACAGGATTCATCATGACTGAACCTTCCGATAAGGTCGTCATTGCGGCGGGGACGATGATCAAACACTTGAGAATTTGATTTCGCGATAATGAGTGATTCGTCGAGACTGTTTCGTAGCGAGGTCCACCGAATCCCCTTCCTCGTGTTTCTTCACACCAAACAGTGGTAGGAATGAAGCTGGTGGGAATGACCGGACCTGTTTTTGTTGAGATGCGGAGTGGAAAAATCCGCAAACGCGTTGATAACTGGCATGTGATCTTGGTGAGGGCGTCGTAACTGCTGCCTGCCCTGTCAAGGTGAGCAAACGTTGCGTGCAGAGCTTCCCCACGATGCTCAAGTGGTACGATAGATTGGTTCACCAGAGCACTGCCTGGCAGGCATGAGTTCTTGAGAGATGATGTGAAATCCAGATCAGAGCACGCATGCTGAAACGGGTGGTAGATTACAGAGGCGTCAGGTCTTCAAAGGACACAGGAGACGGCTCCCGGAGAAAGACAGCCTTGTTGGAAGACGTTCGTACCAGATGGAGGTCAAGTGCCTTTCTTCTTTTGAGGAAAGGTAGGCATCGAAAGTAGTAGTATAGGAGCAATGAAGACCTGATTATAAGGCAGGTAGTAGTCCGCTCTATCGCGGGCTTTCGTTGTAAGGCAGGAGACGGCTCTGTGGTGCCTCCCCGTGAGGAGTGGCCCTAAGAGCAGGCCATCAAGTTTGAGTACCTATGCACCTGCCTACCTACCTAGGTGGGTAGCTGGGTAAAGTACCTACCATATTTTCCTTTAGAGAAGGTACCTACCTACCTACCTTAGATAGGCAGGTAATCACTGCAACCATCGAGACGATTCACACCAGCCAGCTAAGCTCACATCTAAGGTTCAACATCTCAAAAGGTGTACCAACGCGTCTGGGCCTGTATTTCAAACATGGTAATAACACAATATCATGCTCTGATCAATATCAATTTCTACAACATGGAACCATGGCGGGCGATGATCCGATATATCTTCTTGCCAAAGGTCAGAAGCCTGCCAGAAAACCTTGGCTAACTGCTGAGCAAACGAGGGACAGCTGATGGAATCGGAACGACAAATCCGTGCCCTTTCGCTCGTACGATGCGCCTCTCGGCAACCGGACCTTCCCACAGGCCCCATTCGGTGCTTCGGCGCGGCCCACGTCCACCCACATCATCATGTCAGGCAACCTCAAGAATGCTTCAAGGTTGGGACGACCTGAGTTCGCCACGTTAGCTGCTCTTCTAGAACGTTTACCTATTACCAGCATGATGGCCAGACACCGAACGCAGCTATTCCATTGGGAGAGGCCGGACGTGGGCGGCTCTGGTATTATTACACTCGCCCGATGAAAGCTTATCAGGCTGAAGGCTAGGGTGGCCGTGGGTGTGCGCGGCATGAACAAGTCACGCTTCAAGCGTATAGAACTGCCGGAACTCAGTGTTTGTGCGTGTGGGAGACGGCAAGTCAGACCTGCCGTGTTGATTGCAGGGGACAGCCTTTCGCTTCTGTGCCGGAACTGACTCTCATGCCAGGCACGGTTCTGAAGATGATGTCCGAACTCAACGTTTCCGACGGCAACGAGGTGCACGAAGTCCCAAGCGCGAAACATGGTTATATCTCCCGCTTGATCTATGTAGTCAGAATATACAAGGCCCTGGCAGCAGTGGGATCGCGCACACATTGAAGGCCTCAACGACAAGGACATATAAAATCATATGTCCACAAAGTCCAGCCGGTTTGCGAGTTCGAGGATACCACAACAACCCCCAACCAAACGAAGCCTGAGCTGCCGCCTGCACAGAAATCAAGAATGTATTCCATATTGTACCTCTGCCTTCTGCTCGCTTTCGCGAATGCACAACAGAACCCAAAAGTTGTCCAGACAGACCTCATCCACCTCAAGTCGCAAGCGTCAGGCCCCTTTATCCCTCTTGTCCAGTTTTCGCTCGAGAACCAAACCATCAATGCTCTCTTCGACACCGGTAGCAGCGATATTGTCGTCCCCCAGAAGGGCAGTTCCATTTGCCAGAACCCTGCCCAGCAGTGTGACAACTCCTCGGCATCTGGCTTCGTCGCCGGTGCCTTTGACACAGCGGCAGGGCTCGCTCGCGTGCGTCAACGGTTCAACATTGCAAGCCACTTTTGTCAACGGCACTGAGTTCAACGGCGACTTTGCGGCACTCGATCTAGCCATGGACGGACAGACCGTCACGGGCACGACGGTGGGCATCTTCACCAGCGGCTCGCTGCCGCCCGATGCGCCACTGTTCCCCATCTTTGGCGTCGGGCCCGTCCAAGCCGAGGCCGTGGGCTCTACGCAGCTTCAGCAGGGCAGGAATCTCAGGCGCCAGGCGGGCAACTCTGCGAATCTGTACCCAAACCTGCCTGCGCACATGAAGGAGATTGGTATGATCAAGTCGAACGCCTTCAGCGTCTACACCAATGATGCTCGTAAGCATGACCCATACCGTTCATGTCTGCCTGACAACGTCTGACAAGTGGAAATCAGGAGCCAAGACGGGTTCCATCGTCTACGGAGTCATCGACACCGCCAAGTTCGAGGGCCAGCTTCAGGAAGTGCCCCTTGAACGAGCGAACGACGGCGCCCTGCCCTCCTTCGTGATCAAATTTAGCTCTGTGTCCATGGAGACGGGCATTAGCGGCAGCAACGAGATAAACTTATCATCACACATCAACAACGACGCACCCCGGGCAGCAGCAGCCACCACGGACCTCGCACCTCGAGACGGTCTTCCCGTGACCCTGATGGATACCGGGGCTCCCTCGATCCTCTTACCAGCCGCCTCGCTACAGATGCTCGCCACGGCGTTGGGCACGACTTTCTCGGAACAAGACGGCCTGGGCTCATCGACTGCCAGAAGCTGACGGCCAACAACGCCATGGTGTTTCGGTTCAACAACGACGCCATCGCGATCAGGGCGCCCATGGACACGCTCGTCATGCCGCAGGAGCTCGTCCAGGATGCGCGCCCGGGATAGTGCGTGCTGCCCGTGTTCCCGAGCCAGGACACGGCCGTTATGGGGCTGCCGATGCTGCAGTCTGCGCACGTGGTGTTTGACATGGACGGTGAAAAGCTTCTGATGGCGCAGGCCAAGTTTAATGTGACAGAGTCTAGCCTTCGGAAGTACCTATAGTGAGAGGCGCGACAGAGGGAGATTTGTCGTAATAGGCAGTATATATATGTTTTCTTGAAAAGATCTAGATTCAGTTGTGTTGAGGCGGTTAAGTCCACGGTTGCGGAATTGTGAAAATGAAAATGTGCCGTTATAAGAATACAATACCACCGATCTTGGAGAGAAAGAGAAGAAAAAGGAGTGGAATAACAAGGCAAAAGGATTTCTCCTTGACGGGTGCCCGTCTCGAACCCGGTGGTTCCTCTACGCGCCTTCCGTGGCCTGCGCGCCCTCACAGGGCAGTTAGAGGCATGTGATATCGGGTATTTGCTTAGGGTGACCTCTAGGACCGCTACACCATGCGTCACGCTGTAGCGGCCCCTGTTGGAAATGGGCCGGCCTGCGCGTGCTTATCAACCTATTGGGACTCTCTAGGTGCCTTCAGATAGGAAGGAGCTGTGCCAGGCAGCCGTGGGAGGCGCCTGGAGCTCGAGCAGGGGCGGTAAGGCAGGCACGGCGACGTCGGCGTGCGGCCACCTGCCGTGTAGACGGGCCAGTGGTTGGCCGCGGCGAGCAGAAGGTTCCAGGCTGATACCCTACTGGTGATGCGTTAAGGATGATAAAGCCTGGCAGTAAGCTCGGGGATCTGCCAAAACATACCTAGGTGAAGATGCTCCAGATCAAGTGGCCAAGGGAATGCCTCCAGCCCCTGACCAGGGACTCGATATGACTTGGCCCTCGTCGGCCACACAGCACCGGCACACGATCGTCTCAATCGCCACGGACAAGCATTAAAAGGACAAACAAATCATTCTCATTCTTGATATCATCGTGGCCAGAGGCGTGTCCCCTTATGGCTGAAAACGCCTCCAACGCCGCCCATAAGGAAACTAAAGGGGGTTGCCAGAATGTACATAACCCACATTCCCTATTCAGAGCCGCCGTCTATTTGTGTTGTCCTCGAGTAGGGACCGACTGCAACCCCAGAAGCGTCATGAATGCGCGCTCGCTGCCGCGCGTGGCCGGGTCTAAAGATAAACGTTGAGAAGAAACGGGTAGGGCCCGGACTGTTTCGATGCAGAAAGCTCGTATCGTGGTGAAGTGATGGTCATGTCGGTGTTTTGTAGGTTGAGATGGTACAGATGCGTAGTGTGTCGCCGCTCATTTTGGCGCAGGTCGTCGGTCAAGTTGGAACACAGCGAAGGATGGCCTCTTCAGCCCGCCCCAGCTACATTCTCCTTGACGTTCAACGCCCACTTCAGCTTGGCTAGGACTTCTCTGGTCTCTTTCAGCATGGCTTCTTGCTCTGCTTCCCTGGCTGCCGCATTGGTCTTGATGCTGTGCAGCGCCTCCTCCTGCTCGTCCTTGTACGCCAAGAAGGTGGCTTCAATCTCGTCCCTCTGTCTCTTCAGCTCTCGTATGTTACCGTCTTGCTGGTCACAAAGGTCACGCAGTGTGGTGATCTTCTCATCGTCGCGCCGCCTCTCCTCGACAAGACCGGCAATCTCGCTTCTCAATTTCAAATGAGCCTTCTTGACTTCGTCACCTTGGTTGTTCCAGTGCGAAGCGATGGCGTTGTATCGCCCCTCCATCAGGGCGGCGTGCGCGCCGGCCTCATCAACTTGTCGAGTGCTCGTCAGGCGCATTTTCTCCATCTCATCTCGCCAGCCGCGCTCGCGTTCCAAGGCATCTACGGCTCGGCGTTTCTCCTGGTCGACGGTGGCGCTTAGACTTTCGACTTGCCGTTCCTTCCGGGCAAGCAACGTCTTATTGACATTGGCCTCAAGCAAACGACTCTCATAATCGCTAATGAGACGCTCCATCTTATCCTCCACAAGCTTGGCGGCCTGCTTGGCCTCCTCGGCGCGAAGCTGTTCAATCTTGATCTCGCGCTTCAGGGAATCGTTATCGCTGACGAGCTTGTTGATGACGCGGCCGGTTTTGCCGAGGCCCGCCTTGCCAATGGTCGAGTCCCATCCAGCCTGTCCTGGAGGTCCCGGGCTCTCCATACCGCCCACGGCAAGCTCATCGTCTGGAGAGTGGTCATCTCGTCTTGGAGAGTCGTGCCGTTGCGAAGTGTCGTGCATAGTGTTGCCGTTGGCCCAGCCGCCGTTGCCTTGTTTTAATTTGACGCTGGACACTCTGTCTTGACTAGAGGACATGCTGGCGGCGCTGGCGTTGCTGTTGACAGAGCTAGAGAAGGCTGAGTTGCGAGGGCTGGATGTGGTACTGGAATCGCTGGGGGTTTCGAAACTGGGCACCGTGCGAATGGTCTGGTGCATTCTTTGCGTGTCTTCGTGCGAGGGTGATGTGTACTTGGATGGCAAAGGGCTGCGACGACTGATCATGCTGTTGGAGATGGGTGTTGGGATGGGTTCGGCGGCGGCACCAGAGGAGGAGGGTGCCGACCGATCTGATTGTGACGATAGTCGGAAGTCTGGGGGGTACGAATGTCAGCTGACGTTGTGGTGTAGAGCATAGACGGCAGCATGCAGAGATAAAGGACAGAGGAGGCTCGAAAGGAACGAAACGATGGCTGGATGCTGCGAGAAGAGCTTCGGAATAGGTCGTAGCAAGGTGTTCTTACAATCTTTGTGTTTAGGAGTGAGGTCGGACTGGTCAAGAGACTTGGTGGAACATCGGGGTTTCTGGTATTTTTGCAAAAGACTAGGCATGTCTATCGCTCATTGTTTGATCAAAAGGGGGACTGGCGATGCTCTTTTTCTGAGGTACCCAAGTTGTGTCGGAAAGCGAGCGCTGTTGCACAGGTAATGCGATATGATGCAAGGTTGAAGAAAGTCGGTCAGTTCTACAGTAGTAGTAGGGGATATCGAGTCGTGAAGAGCAATTGCTGGGCCTGGCCTGAGAGGGATTAGCGTTGAAGGGGGGGAAAGGCGATGAGTCGATCAGAGGGGATGAAAGATGGCAGATCGGGATGTTGTCGAGCAGGGGCGCCAGATGGGGAGGGGCGATATTTACCTGCTTTGATGTGTAGTACATGCGCAACCCGTGCATGCCTGTACGATTTTTTTTTTTTTTGCTTCTCTCCTGTCGCTGTCGACGTTGGTGTGGTTGTATTGCATTGAGTTGGACGCAACCAGCAAGCCAAGCACGATGAGTGATGGGGCTGATGGACGGGACTGTGCCTGCCGGTTCTGGTTTCGTCCAGGCGGACCAGGATTTGCAGACCAGCATCCAGGGACCAACTCCCGGCCATTGGGTGGTTGGCCCCTTCCCGCTGTCTCCTTCCAGGGCATACTCTCCACTAATAATGCTGGCCCCCCACTTCTCACCACTGGGAGGACGCTAGGCACAGTGCCAGGGCGTTCCCCAGCAACGAAGATCGCTGCGTCACCGCCCCTCCCAGGCCCCCAAGCCCCCCTGTCGCCTGCCGCCTGGGCTGTGGTGCTCTATCGCCTGGCGGCGGTCGCTCTCGCCAACCTCCTGTCGTCTTTTCAACGCCCATCCATCCAGTGAGCAACGGGCAGCGCAGGGAATCCGCCGATCGAACTCTGATGCACGGTCCCAGCATCCGACCACCCTCCATTACCCTCCATCGCCAGTACAAACACAGACAGGACCATGGATACCAGCTCCTTTCGGTATCAATCGGGGATACCAAACAGTCAAATGTGCCACGATCGACCTCTTCCCCAGATCCCCTTGAGCTAGTCCCGTTCATTCTGGCTGTCAGTGTGCTACTGTATACCAAGATGAGGGTGCATAGTCCGTTGCAGCCAAAGCACGTCCCCCGTCGTCGAGTCATTCTCCGCCTACAGCTGGGAAAAAGCATGCATAAACACCCACAGCACCGTCCGTTTGAGAATCTCACAACTCAGCTCGCCCACGCCTCTTCAGGCCGGGAACATCCTCGACCCTTTTTCGGGAAGATCTGGCGTCCACACAGCCATATCCTCCGACTGGTCCGCCTTTTTCTCCTGTCCAATTTCCTCCACAGTCAACCCCTTGAGGCCATGCGGTAGCGGCCGCTCTAATCGAGACGGGAGCAAACGAACCTCATGTGTAAAATCTCAACCAGCATGCTGCAAGCCCCCTATCATAACAAGTCAAGTCTGCGTCCTTTTCTTCTGGAGCGTGACGAGATGTGAGCCCGGTCGGGCATGAGCTCGCCCCTATGGCCTGCCACCCTGCAATATCGTGTCACGTTTCAAGCAGCACCTCAACCAAGTTGGGCAGGCCAAGCAGGTGAGACAGTATCAGCTTCTTGTCGTGTGGTGTTGCAACGCCCATTCAGTGAGCGCAACTGAAGACTTCTTCAGACAGTGGCGTAATTCTGGCTTCGTGTTGGACTTGTTTGGTCATTCCCGTGCAATACGCTCGATTTTGCACCGACAGCAGCAAAACTCTGAATCAACATGAGGCCTTCCGGAGGAGATATATAGAATGCACCAGACCGGTGTGTTAGTATAGAGGATGGCGCGAAACCTCTCTATGACGACACGGCGATGGTCCTGAGCAGACTCTTGATCAAGATATTGCCGATTTACCGTGCCCCTCGACATGAGTATCGTGACAACCCCAAGTGCTTAATGGACATCAAGTACATATATGCTAGGGAACGCGCCTGCTGTGGTCTCAACTGTAATGTCGTAGCAAGCATCTTTCGGAGATGGTGAAGCAAGCCATGTCTGGACTTCAAGGCTGCATTCCGACTTCGCAGATATTTCAAGGAACTATACCGATGGGAGCCGCGTGCAGCTTGACATGACTCAAGGGGGGATGGGGCGTCTTCAGCTTCGAATGGAGACTTCTGGAGACGACTTGATATCCGGCCCCACAAGAGAGAATCGATGCTTGTGGCTCTCTTGCCAGTACTGGGGCTTCATACCTGAGATTTCATTGTACGAAGGTACTAGTAAGAGGTCTCAATCTTGTGCACAAGTGAAAGAGCCGTTGCAGCCGTCATTTTTGCCGGCTAGGGCTCACATGCCGAACAGAGCATTCTTGGAGCCTGTGATGCGCAAAGAAGGTATCTGACACTGAAGAGGCTTGAGTACCTATGTCAACGAGAGATGCCCGTGGCCATCAAGCAAGCAGTTGTGACACCTGAATTGCTGGGTGGACTGAAAGAGGCTGACCATTGGCCTGTCGTCGCTTCCATGCGGCAATGGAAGGGCGCGGCTTGACTTTGTGACCCCGCCATCCGGTGGTGCCTTCAGCATGCAGTCCGGATTCGGAGCTAGGAAAATTTCTGTGGGACCACCCCGCGAGTAAGGAATGGGCCATTACTCTGAAGACTGGGACGTACTGTAGGTGCAGCGATTGAATCATTCTTGAGTGCCCCTCATTGCCGATAACCCTCCAAACCTTCCAACCTCGAGACTCCCCCACATCACACTTCTGTGACTCAAACTTTTGACGTCGTGACTCCGATACAACCCGCGACGAGTTGCGCATTGAGTTCATATCTTATTTCTTCTCCTCCTCCTTACACACGAAGGAAAGAAGGTTCTTGTGTCACCATCGCGACAGTGTCACACGGCTCGCTTCTTCACACGCGAGATACGCCCCGCACCCACCGAACGGTTCCCAACTATCGGCCGACGTTCCAGCTCCAAGATGACGATGTAAGTTCCTCGACTTGCCAACCAACGGTCCTCTTCATCATACAATTGAGAATCATTGTCGAGCCGGACTGACATTCTTGACCCTCCTCACAAGGCTCAAGGACCCCATCAAGAAGTACAAGCCCTTCAAGGTATGCTGAGCTAACCCCTACGTTCTTCCAACCTGGATCGCAACTGACTTGGAGCAGCCGCCTCGCCTGCAGAACCGGCAATGGCCGGACAAGGTTATTGAGAAGGCCCCCCGATGGCTTTCGTACGTCAGATACTACCCTTCCAGCAGAAGAACACTTACTTACCTTCTCGCAGTTCTTGCCTTCGCGATGGTAACCAAAGTCTGCCCGATCCCATGGTGCGTTTCCACATCCTCGCGCGCACCTGCCCTTCCTGCCGCCTGATACTGATTTGTTGCCAACAGAGTGGCGATGAGAAGTGGCGTTACTTCAAGATGCTCTGCGATCTCGGCTACAAGGAAATTGAGGTCTCATTTCCGTCTGCGTCACAAACCGATTTCGACTTCACCCGCCGCCTCATCGAAACCCCAGGAGTCGTGCCCGACGATGTGTTCCTCCAAGTCCTGTCGCCCTGCCGTCCCGATCTCATCCGCAAGACTGTCGAGTCCGTCCGCGGAGCGAAGAACGCCATTATCCACATCTATCTTGCGACAAGCGCATGCTTCCGACAAGCCGTTTTTGGCTATACTGAGGAGCAGACTCTGGAACTTGCTGTCGAGTGCACAAAGCTCGTCAGGTCTCTGACCAAGGACAACCCCGAGGCTTCCGGAACGAACTGGCAGTTTGAGTTCTCGCCTGAGTGCTTCTCCGACACAGACCCCGAATACGCTGTGAGGGTATGCCGCGCTGTGAAGGCTGCGTGGGGCCCCGACGGATCCAAGGGCGATCAGATCATTCTCAACCTGCCGGCGACGGTCGAACTCGCGACACCCAACATTTATGCGGATTTGATCGAGACTTTCTGCAACAACATTGGCGACAGGGAGGATGTGTGCATTTCTCTGGTAAGCCGTCATCTTTTTCCTAACCTGTTGACGAAGTTGGCTGACAATGCTCGACAGCACCCTCACAACGATCGCGGATGCAGTTCGTACAACCCGACATGCTGAATACTTTTGGCGCCGCTAACAATGGACAGGCGTCGCAGCGGCAGAGCTGGGCCAGATGGCTGGAGCTGACCGTGTAGAAGGCTGCTTGTTCGGGTTCGTCCCTTTCCTGATTCCGTCATCTCTGACGAAGTACTGAACAATTAACAGCAACGGCGAGAGGACGGGCAACGTCGATCTCGTTACCCTCGCCCTGAACCTCTACACCCAGGGTGTCAGCCCACAGATCGACTTCTCCGACCTGAACTCAGTCATTGACATGGTTGAATCCTGCACCAAGATCCCCGTCCACCAGCGTGCTCCTTATGGCGGCAGCCTCGTCTGTGCCGCTTTCTCCGGCAGCCATCAAGATGCGATCAAGAAGGGATTCCAAATCCGCCAGCGCGACGGCCTGTCAGCCGAAGACCCATGGAACGGCATGCCCTACCTGCCCCTGGACCCTCAAGATATTGGTCGCAACTACGAGGCCATTATTCGTGTCAACTCGCAGTCTGGCAAGGGCGGTACCGCCTTCATCCTGCAGGCCAAGCTGCAGCTCGATCTCCCCCGTGGCCTCCAGGTGGCGTTCTCCAGAGTTGTTCAGAACCGCACCGAGGAACTCGGACGCGAGCTCCTTGCCAACGAAATCACCACCCTCTTTGAGTCCACGTACTTCCTCAACGACAACCCCCACTTCAGCCTGGTCGACTACAGCATCAGCCCAGATCGCTCGCAATCCCCCGCGCCCGCGCCGCCCGGCAAGACCCAGGACACAAAGAGCTTGAGACGTATCTTCGAGGGCGTTATCGTTATGAACGGCGAGGAGATCAAGCTGCGCGGCCGCGGCAACGGTCCCATCTCGAGCATGGTCGCCGCTCTGCGAGCTGTCAACATTGACTTTGACGTCAACGACTACAAGGAGCACGCTATTGGCGAGGGCCGTGGTGTCAAGGGCCGCGTCCTACGTCGAGGTCAAGCCCACGGGCAGCAAGCAGACGGTCTGGGGTGTTGGTGTCCACGAGGATGTGGTACAGAGTTCGCTCCTGGCCGTGCTGAGCGCGGCGAGCTCCGTAAGCCCCCTCCCTCACCCTACAGAGCAAGAGTGATCAGTGATCGACGGGGTTTGAATTTGCTAACACTGCTGGACAGTTCATTGCCAGCCGACCTACCAGCCCTACCCTGAACCCCGTTGCGGTTCCCGCCCCCCAGGCGACGCCGAATCTCATCTCCGTCTTGGAGGAAAAGGCGAACGGCATGTAAAAAGAGATGAATGCAAGGTGGGACAAAAATTTAATGGTAGATGATGACCATGTGTGTCGGCTGGGATAAAAGTTGAAGATGCTTCACCAGAGTTTTCTTCTTGAAGCGTCGTTCCTGAGTGGTAAATACAATGTTTTGAATAACCGACTGTGTATCCTTTCAGTCACAGTGACTTATGGCTGCTCTATTTAGCTCCATTGTGAGACCGTGCAGCCGAAGTTATGCTTTCATTTTGACCACGATCTTCAGGCTTGAACTAACACATATCCTCGGGCAGCGGCACGACTTGCACGCTGCTTACGATGGTGAACACTGGCGAAATATAGCAGAGCTTACAAGTCCGCCTGGGTACCGACATGTTGGAATTGGTTAGGTATAGTTCACATGATGATTTCGACCCCATCAACATCTGCTCCAGTTAGATGAGCAAGGGCGGGAGGAACCGGATACCTGGTGTTACAAAAACATGATACAGTGACCACAGTAATAATACCTGCCGCTCCGCCTCCGGCCAGCGACCGCACAACGGGCTCTGTGTACCTGTTGCCAATATCTCCCTCCTTGCCACAAGAGGCAAGATTCACTAAAACGCCAAAAGCCAATTGCGTGCTCATGCTTGTCCTCGACTTTTCCGCCTCGGGGTATTGTTGTTTTCGGATCACGCGAGTGATCATCCCCTAACTCCCTGCTATCGAGGTGACCCAGACCGAGGGGGAACCCGCCGACACCTGAGGGTATCCATTCGACCCGTGCCAGAACTTGCATGATCTTCGTGTCATTGCATGAGAAAGCCCAATCATTCGTCGTTGCTCGCCGTCACTACGTGGCAACGGCCGCCACCGGGGCCGGCGCAGGCGCGCTAGCCTCTTCCGCGTCACGAGTGGCCGACTCCACGAAGGCCGGCCTGAACTTGTTAAGATACTTGCTCGCCAGCGGGCGTGCCTCCTCGTCTAGAAACAGGGTCAGCGTCGTGGTCACTGCTGGAACAAAATAAGAGGAAAATGAAAAAGTGGGTGGCCAAACTTACACTCGACCCAGATGTCTTGCACCGTGTCCAATGCCATTTCCTTTGCCGGCGGCCGCATCATGACCACGTACAGCAGACTGGTCAGCACCAGGGGCACGACGGAGGGGTCACGACAGATGAGCTTTATGCGCGCAAGGATCGTCGGCGACAGGTCCGGGACCTCGCCCAGGAAGCGCGTCAGCACCTTATCCTGGGCGTGCAGGTACTGCGAGAAGCCGTCGATGAGCTTGACTGCCCATGTCTCGTATTGGCGGGGCGCGCCGTCGCCCTCCGTTTTCTGGCGCAGCCGGTCGTTGTACCACTCCTCCGTGAGCCACGTTATGGCAACGTCAATGCGACGACGGAAGTCTTCGAGGACGTAGGAGTATAGGGATTCCCGGATGCTGTTGTTGAGCGTCGGCGCTGACTTGACCTCTTCTTTCACGGCATGATCTGGCTCTGTTGCTGACCTGCTGGCCAGACGGGTGATGATGGCGATCCAGGATTCCCTGTCGTTGCTGCTGGCTGCAAGGCGGTTGACGCCAGATCGAACCCGCTTGTTCGCTTCTTCGAGGGATTTGATAAACTCGAGTATCGACAGGACGGAGACTTGGCCGCCTCTCAGGGCCAGTTCTGGTGTCAGAGGCGGTGGTGGTGGAAGCTTGAAGGCCTTCAGGCCAACATCTGTGTTGTCAACCTTCACGAGCGGCTCGCTGTCCAGCTTGTTCAGAATCTGCTCCGTGTCCTCCGCTGGATAATCATCCGGCTCGTATTCATCGTCGTCATCGTCTACACCGAGCGGCGCCGTCTCGGGATTAATCTCAGGCACCGGCATGGCTGCCAGCGCGGCAAGTCGCCCTTTGATTCCATCAACAGCTTTGTAGAGCAATTGGGGGTCTATCCTGGACAGGGTCGACACGTTGATCCGGGCAACCAGCTCTGCCGGCACCGTTGAGATGTCGAAAGCCTTCAACCCTTCACTGCCTGTAAGTGTGTAGACATCGGCGAGGCTATGTTGGCCGGGAGCTAGGGGTGTGACCTCCAGCTGTTGTGGCGCTGGCGCAAGAGTCCGTTGTCTTTTAAGATCTGCGCCCTCCGGCATTACCTCCAGGCCACGCTTCCGACTTGACTCATCCAGGATCTCGGAGCGCATGCGCATCATGCCCTCGACATGCTGCTGGATCCGAGGGACAATCGGGTTGTGAGGATCGCTGGGTAGCAAATATTAGTCCGGCATCTCAAGTCATCAGCATAGTCGTTACAATACCGTTTCGCAATATGCATCAGTAGCATCCTTGTGGTTTTCTCCATCGACTTCACTAGCACACGTATCCGGGGTGTCATGGGCGAGTTGGCAAGCTTCAAAGGGTTGAATTGGAGCACAGCGGCCAGGATTCTGTTCGCCGTGGTAGGGCGCGTGCGTACAAGGATGGACAGACAGTTCAGAGTAGCATCAACAAGGAGAGCATCGCTAATGTTTGGGGCGTCATGTCAGTAGCGTTGAGGTTGGAGCACGGAAGTTCTTCTCCTTACCTGGCCTGATCTTGGAGTCCACCCAGTATCCTGTCAAGCAACCCAGCTGCCTCCGCCTCCAATGTCTGGTGATCAAGGGTCTGATGATTCCTCGGCACCTTATCCAGAGAAACATCGAGTGAATCACCGCGCTGTGAGGTTGGTCAGTACAGCGACCAATTGCTTGTAAGAACGAGCTCGCCCGTACCCGAGGTTCTTGGGGGTTTGCGACTGACTGCGCCAGCACAACCCGTTGCGCAAACTTCATGCAGCATATCCGCAGAGAAGGCTCGGCGTTTTCCCAGATACGCAGTATACGAGTCTTGATCTTAACCATGCGCTCCCATGTCATGTTATCGTAGGAATTGTTGATGCTGTCCACCAGTTAGTTTGCGTCTCTTTTGTGCCTCCAATTCCTCGTCGGCGCACTCACATCCACCGCAAGGCGATCGGGTAAATGCTTGCAGATGCTTGAATTGCGCTGCGCAACACCTGCAGATCTTCGTTTGGGTCTTCCAGCAGGTCTTTCAGTGTTTCGAGAACAAAGAGTTGCATGGTCTCCTTTTCGCTCAAGGGCAGTGCTGGTGTCGCAAATGCTTCGGCGAGGAACTCTGCGCCCCATCTTCGCAATTCGAGGTGGGCGGATGGTACAACGATTTGCAAGATGCTCTTGACCACATTCGAGTAGTATTTAACATCGCTTAGGACAAGCTTCCGCGCATCGTTCAGTTGCCGGATCTGGTCGCTGACGGAGAGCTGAGGAGACGCCATGATGTTGAGAGACTGCAGACTCGTAGCTCTGCGGTGGTATGTGAAGTACTGAGTGCGATTCGATTCTCCAAAGTGTACAGCGTCGGCAAGGGTTCATCGGCTACGAGCTGTCGCGACCTGTGGAAATTCCCAAGCTCTGTCCGAGCCGCATCCCGCCCAAGTGCTGCAGGCGCTCAAAGGTTCGTGTGTCTGATGATCGTGGGGAAGGCGTTTTCGTGCTGCTGAGGGGGGCCAGGCTGCGTAACAGAAACTCTACTGCGTGACAAGGCAGGCAGGTTATGTTTGGTCCGAGAGTGAAGTTCCACGGTCTCGGTCTGGACGCGCGAAGCTTGAATTGCGTAGGTGGTCCGTGCACCACACGCAGAAGCTCCTGTGCGATCCCTAGTTCGATCTTGCACTATCGGTTCTGCCGTGCTTTTCCCGGAGTCTTATCGCTTTCGTTGTTCGACTTCGGCCCAGCAACTTTTGCGACGCGAGCATCCCGAAGGTCATTAAGCGACGATTGAACAACGACACAGCCTCACAAGCGCGCGAACTCACGGCCAACCAATACTTTGGCATCTCACGGCTTGTTCTCGGAAGCAACAACCAGACAACACAATGGCGGGGTACGTTTTCAGCTTGACAAACGAAGAGCCAATGGGTCGAACAGTGGCCTGACGAAGGACAGAACTCAAAGATCATCATACTACGACCGCCACCTCAGGCAAGGCCCGGCTCTGATTCGGGCGAGGAAGCCGTACATAGTCAAGAACGCTGTTCTCGGCCTGGGACTGTGGACCATTGTTGGGGGTGTCTGTAAGTTGCCTAGCCAAGTTCCCTTACCATGGTAATCTTACTGACCCTGGCTCAAGACTGGTACACATTGAAGGCTGTTGGCCAAGACGATTTCGAAGATGTCAAGGTGCCTGATGCGCCCAGGGAACCTCAACAGGCGAAATAAATCGAGGACACTGTGATGTGCACTGGGTGTACCTAATGAAGGGTGGTATGTAAGGCTAAGCCAAAGGGACAGTAGGCATGGGCAGTCTGTCCATGGTTGCTCTGTAAGATTGTATTGGAGTAGGTTGTAACATGGACGCCGCACATGCTCTCAGGAGACATGGCGGAAGAAGGCCCGAGAATGCCTTTTAGATATCCCCCCACTGAATGAAGACATGTACAATTCTGTCCAGTGGTAGACATGGTTATGTTTACTTGGCGACTCAGACCATAGGCTACTTTGAAGCTTTGTTACTGGACCTGGCGATTCCCCCCCCCCAGTGGCAGATGGTTTAGAGGTTTCTGCAAGGGAGGAGTCGTATGTCCTGTAACAGACTTGGTAGCATGGATACCTGAACTTATCATTACTGCACTGACAGCCCCGACAACAGAGTCAGCGTCTAACTTGGTCGAACGACGTGGAATATACAGATGATCCTGCATTGCAACATGGTGAATCTCGTTGACTCGATGTCGAGGTTCACCAGTTTGCTCGCAGTGGAGTACTGATTGGCCGTCTGCACCATATTTCTAAGTACCTCTATGAAGGGATGCACATGTACTGTAGTGCCCAACAACGCATGAAGAGCAAAGAGGGGTTACCCCCCTTCAGAATGCCAGCCAGCTAGCTAGCTGGTCGCACCCACCCACCCGAACCTCACTCCGCGTGCATTACATTCAGGAACACCTCTGCAACGTGGGAATTCCTCTCGTCGCGGCAGCTGTCAAACGAGGAGATGCCACCCCCCGACAGGGTCTCGTAGATACAGGACAAGCAGTGTCCCAGACATTCATCACCAACCACTGCTGCCACGGAAAGCTGATGGTGTCCAATCATGGCTGCTTCTGAGCCTCTGCTGTCCCAATTCGATACCCCACTTCCCTTGCCCAGCACGGACCATCTGGCGGTGAGAAGCAGCAGCTCGCTCATTGGCCTAGGAGACGGCAAGGCCCAGAAATCCACCAGGGTCCAGCACCTGAGGACCTAGCGCTAACCCGCGATGTGCATCTCCCAGCGCCTTCCCCTATCGCGCCACCCGATTGTTGACGTGCCCCGCCTTGGAGCCCACAACTGAACACCCGGTCCCTTTACTCTGTACCCAGGCCCGCCAAACCTCACCACACCTGGGAAAACCACCTCCTTCTCCTCCTTGCCTTCCTTGGACCTTTGGACCACACCAGCGCTGCGCGCGTGAAAGCTGCTCTCTTCTCCGTTGCAGTCTCCGTCCTAGCCTCTTCTCCGACAACATCATTCATCATGAAGGGCGAGGTATGTTGAAGCTTTCCTTGTTCCTGAAGCTGCCATGCCAGGTGAAGCTATCGCGGGCCGTCCCATTCCTCGGGGCCGGACCCCTGAAAACGAGTGGAAATGGAACTCTGCACTTCGGCTGGCTGATTCCGCCATCAACCATTTTTGTTTCGTCTCGATTCAAGCATGCTTACAAGCCGGTCCCTTTTTTAGATTCTTCACCTCCACCTTGGCCAGGCTGGTGTTCAGCTGGGCAACTCCGCTTGGGAACTGTATGTCTTCTCGACCCGAAACTTCTCACCATCCTGCTGCTCGGAGGCTGACCTCTAGCTAGCTACCTCCTCGAGCACGGCCTCGGCGCTGACGGTCGTCCCGACCCCAACGGCCCTGAGATCGGCGACCCTGGCTCTTTCGAGACCTTCTTCTCCGAAACCAGCGGTGGCAAGCACGTTCCTCGCTCCATCTTCGTCGACCTGGACCCCTCGCCCATTGACGAGATCCGTACCGGCGCCTACCGTCAGCTGTTCCACCCCGAGCTGTTGATCAGCGGCAAGGAGGATGCCGCCAACAACTACGCCCGTGGCCATTACACCATTGGCAAGGAGATGGTCGATAATGTCATTGACCGCATCCGCCGTGTTGCCGGTGAGAACCATCTGCAGTGCTACATCTGTAGGACCGTATGCTAACGATACCGCCCAGACAACTGCCACTCCCTCCAGGGCTTCCTGATCTTCCACTCCTTCGGTGGTGGTACCGGTTCCGGTTTCGGTGCCCTCCTTCTCGAGCGTCTTTCTACCGAGTACGGCAAGAAGTCCAAGCTTGAGTTCGCCGTCTACCCCGCTCCTCGTGTCTCGACGGCCGTTGTCGAGCCTTACAACGCTGTCCTGTCCACCCACAGCACCATCGAGAACTCCGACTGTACTTTCCTCGTCGACAACGAGGCTGTCTACGACATCTGCCGCCGCAACCTAGACATCCCCCGTCCCTCGTACGAGCACCTCAACCGTCTGATCGCTCAGGTCGTCTCTTCCATCACCTCGTCTCTCCGATTCGACGGTGCCCTGAACGTCGACCTCAACGAGTTCCAGACCAACCTGGTGCCCTACCCTCGTATTCACTACCCCCTGATCAGTTACGCTCCCGTTGTGTCTGCCTCGAACAGCCAGCACGAGAGCTTCAAGGTTCAGGAGCTGACCTTCCAGTGTAAGTCAATGACGGTCTGTCATGGTTGAGGATGGTAATGCTGATGACAAAAAACAGGCTTCGAGCCCAACAACCAGATGGTCGTCTGCGATCCCCGCAACGGCAAGTACATGGCTGTCGCTCTGCTGTATCGTGGCGATGCCGTCCCCCGCGACTGCAACGCTGCCATTGCCGCGCTCAAGGCCAAGTCCTCCTTCAACCTGGTCGAATGGTGCCCCACGGGCTTCAAGCTCGGAATCAACTACCAGAAGCCTGTTGCCGTCCCCGCCGCCCCCGGCGATGGCGGTCTTGCCTCCGTCGATCGTTCCGTCTCCATGTTGTCCAACACCACCGCCATTGCCGAGGCTTGGTCGAGGCTGGACCACAAGTTTGACCTCATGTACAGCAAGCGTGCTTTCGTGCACTGGTACGTTGGTGAGGGCATGGAGGAGGGTGAGTTCAGCGAGGCCCGTGAGGATCTTGCTGCGCTCGAGAAGGATTACGAGGAGGTTGCCGCCGATTCATTCGAGCCCGATGAGGGTGACGCTGAGTACTAAGAGGTGAAAGACGACCCCGGAGAGTTGCCTTCCTCGCGTTTGCGTTTTGCTGTACACACTTGGATGGGGATCGGAACTGCGGCTGTGGGCGGATCATGCTCCTGCAGAACAAAAGCCTGCATTGCTTCCTGCCTTCTCTTGCATCCTGATAGCCTGTCGAGGTGGTGGCCTGGTAGATTTCTTTGTTCCCCTCGTCCCCTCGTCGAACGACACGACGCTAGGCCTAGGATTGATTACCCCTTCTGAAATCCATTACCCAACGAATGGATGTTTTATTTTCTGGAGTCTCTGTGATTTTAATAGATGAGGACCAGGCTAGCGTTGTGCGGTCTTTCGTTGCTTGTTTGTCACGACTGCGGATATGTGATTTAGCTGGTGCTTGGTCGAGGTAGCTCGCAAGGCAGTTGAATTGCCTGGTGGAACAGGAAGAGCCCAAGAACCTCTGTCGAGCCAATCGGTGTGAAGTGTAGAGATTTCTTCTTGAAGTTGGTTCAAGCAGATGATGTAGCGTTGTGGATTCAATCCAACAACATGAGACGGAATGATGAACTAGTCGATGCAAGGCAAAATGCGGAAGCATCGGGAAGAGACCAGATGAATCGCCTTCGAAGCCGAACACATCCATAAAAAGTCAAGCCATGAAAAGCCATGATATCTCCATCTTCGTACGCCGACCCCCGGTCCATGTAACACAACACACAAGTGGTATCACAACTTTTACCTTGGTCCCCGTCCCCCTCAATCCTTACTCGTCTTGCCGCCCTCCTTTCGCCATGCCGCGGCCCTCACGGCTCCACGTCCTTTCTTCTCCACCCGTCCCTTGTTGACCCTGCCCTTCTTCTTACCGATCCTCACGTCGCTCGGCCGCCCGTCGTTGGCGCTCGCGCGCTTGCCCTCAAAAATGATCTCCTCGGGTGTCTTGAGGACGAGCCCTGACCCGCTGGCCTGCTCCTTGCCGTCGCCGCTACCGCCGCGGCCCTGCTTCTTCTTCTTGTGGTTGTACAGGGCGCCCGAGCGGCCCAGCAGCTTTGAGGCGCGGCCGGCCATGGAGAGCTCCTCGTTGGTGGCCTTTTGCTTGTACTTTGTCGACTTCTTATCCGTGGCCTTGTCGCCCGCCGTCTTGGCGCGGGAGCGCTCCTGTGCGAGGGCCGTCTTGTGCGGGGCCTTGGCACGGGTGACGCGGAGGGTGCGCGGGAGCATGGGGGGGAACTTCTTCTCGTTGAGGAGCAGGGCGGCCTCGACGTCGTTGGCGTCCTATTTGCATGTCAGTGGCTGCTCATGAAACCTGTAGAGAGGAGGAAGATGGGTGGATGGGGGAGGACGGACGTGAAACTGAACGTAGGCGAAGCCCTTGCCGACGCGGGTCTTGGGATCACGGATGACGCGGACGCTCTCGACCTTGCCGTCTTCCTTGCCAAAGACGCGCCAGAGGCCCTCCTCAATGTCGGACGGGACCTTGTTGCGCTTGCGCTCCTTGGTCTCGCCGCTGGCGTCCGTGTTGAGGACCGTCTCGTCGTCGACGAATCCGAGGTTGCCGACAAAGACGCAGCGACGGTGGTCGGTGGGCGCAGGGTGGGCGACGCTGTCGACGCGGATGTGGCGATCGAGGACGACGGAGCCGTTGAGCGTAGTGCAGGCCTTGCGCGCCGCGGCCGGGGTTGAGTACACGACATAGGCGTTGGCGGACTTGGTCGTGGCTTCCATGAGCGAGTGCGTGATGTAGGCGGCGCGCTTGGGCATAGAGCCGGCCGAGAAGGCGAGCGAGCGGAACCGGATCGACTCAATCTTCTCGCCCTTTTCCAGGACGGTCGAGAGGTGCGTCATGAGCGTCTTCTTCGCGACCTTTGTGGTGCTCGCTTCGGCGGCAACATTGGCAAGGAAGACTGTGCGGTTGGCTTTCTCGATATCCGTGTCCTTGGTGTCGGCGTCCTTCTTGTCCTTTGCGACGAGGGATTCGTGGACGGGGAGGACTTCCTCCTCCACGTCATCGTCCGAGGTTGTGTCATCTGCCTGCTCGGCCTTGGGGGCCTCCGACTTGTTCTTCTGGCGCTTGATCTGGGCCTCTTCCTTCTCTTCTTCTAGGGCGAGTTTGTTCAGGTATTTGCCCTCGAGGTCGTCTTCGTCGCGCTTGCGCTTGCGCTCCTTGGGCTTCCGGGGGGGTTCCAGCAGGCGCTCTACTGCCTCTTCCACATCTTCTTCCTCAGAAGCCTCGCCTTCAGCGTCGTCTGAGAGCTCAGAGAGGTCGGCATCAGCATCTACCATGTCCTCGGCATCCTCGTCGTCACCAGCTTCCTCCTCCTCGTCGGACTCTTCGACAGCCTTTTTGGGCCTAGGTGGTGGTGCCTCGGCATATTTAGCCTTGGGGTGAGGTTTGGCAGATCCAGCCTGGAAATTGTCAGTCAAGTTACGTCTCTCCATTGATCGTACAGAGCAATTATCGGCTTACACTGGAGGAGAAAAGAGCATCGAGGGTGGGGTCCACGGCTTTGGACGAGGCCGTCAACTTGGAGGTTCTGATACAAAATTAGTACACGATTCTTATCTGACCGAATTTCGGGGTGCAAAATACTTTTTTGACATGATGTATAAGGTCTCCTGAACGAGAATCGGTGGTTGCGACAGACAGATGGGATCCTGGCCGTTTCGTCAAGTCGCACCCCGAAGAAAAATGTCGAGCTCTAGGCCTCTTCGCAGACACTGACGGTCAACTTTACAGCGGGGCACATCCCCAATCTGGCGCTGCTAATCGATTGGTCGAGTTTTGCCGCGCCGAACCCGCAAGGGGACCCACTTCAGGGCGCCTCTCACCGCCTCGGCTCCCAGCCAATGAACGGGTTTTGTTCTGCCGACCGAAGTGATGCTGGTGCTTGGTGCTTGGTGCTGGTGCTGGTGCTGGTGCGCAAGAGGAGCGAGAAGAGAGGAGCAGAGGCACGAGGTAGATGAGCGCATCTGATGGAGTGGCAGGTTCACTAATGCTTCTTCCGGTTTCCCACTACAACACCACAATTCCCACCCAACAAGCTCCGATTTCCCTACCAACAGGAAGCGAAACACCTCATTCACGATTTGATTCCTTTGACTCTGGCAATTTATTCTTGCACCACTTCCTGCCGACACCCTTCGCAGCCGCTGCAGCTCCGCCCCTCCAACCTCTTCCTAACCCGACCTCCTCGCGCGAAAACCTCTCCCACCCAAGCCCCAACAAGCTTGCCCCAACGCGAAAATAATACATCCGTGTTTGCGATTGCGATCACCCAAGCAAGAAGCGATGGCGGCCGCTGGGGCGATCCCCCCTGCGCTCTCGCCAGAGCAGCCGACCCTTGACCACGACGACAGCAACATCTCCAGTCCGTTGAGCGACGTCGAGGACGGAGACGGCGACGAAGGCTCTCTCGATGTCATGAACATACATCACGATACGCCTCGCCAGCACGACGACGACGAGGGCGATGTGTCCGAGTCCGACAGCAATCTCTCCGACGCCAACGACACCGAGGCCGAGACGGAGCGTCTCTTCGACACACCGCAAGCCCAGCGACACCGAGACGTCGTCGTCAATGAGTTCAATGACGGTCAGATCTTTGAGCACACCCCAAGTAAGCTCCAAAAGACATTTTCCGTCGACGAAGAGGCCGACAATAGCGATAACGAGTCGCTGTCCGACAATGACGACGTGTCGCTGGCGTCGAGCCCCGGCGACGGATCCCCTTCCCCAACCAAACCTGCCAAGCCCGCCGTCACGTCGCTGGCAAGCCCTGTACGAGAATCATCGGAGACGAAGAAGCGAAAACGGTCACTTCCCGTCGACCAATCCGACTCTGATCAACCCTTGAGAAAGCGCACGGGCTCGGTCGCCGCGCCAGACTTGGACGATGCTGCGCGCCGCGAAGATGATGAGGACGATCCTCTGTCGACGCACCCCAACAGCGGGAACCAGTCGGCCGACGAGGAAATTCCCGTCCTGACCACCGAAGCCAAGACTGAGCCGTCTCGAGACAGCGCCAGCCCAGTCAAAGCGTCCAGCGTCACGCGGAAGCTCACGAGGAATGGCAGCAAACACAAGACCGAGGACGGCGACGATGACAAGATAAACGACGCCGATACTCACGAAGAAGGCACTGCCGACGAGGGCGTTGAAGCCCGAGTGGACGAGGATGTGGCTGTTGCCGAGGTTGAAGACGATGCCGACGCTGCGGCCCGAGACGAGGAAGAACGTAAGACAACCACTTGCATTGGCATGATCGAACGGCAGCTAACGTCATGCGCAGTTGAGAGGAAACAAGCCGCACTCGACGAGTGGAGTCAGCTTGAAGCCAGATTTGTGCTCTTTCGCGAGAGGTCAGTCCCAATCCCGGCTCATGCCTGCCTGTTAACTGACTTTTGCCAGACTCTACAAGGAGCGCCTCGAGCGTTTGGAAGCCGAGGAGCAGTCTCTCCAGTCCGACAATCCTACCCACCCTGAATATCTTCTCATGAGGCAATGTCTCGACGAGCGACTCGACAACAGGATGCGCGAGGTCAACAGGGAACATGAGCTTACAATTCAAGCCCTCGACAGACTCTCGGTTGCCCGCAGGGCGCAGATCTGGGGACAGTTCTACCAGGGTATCCGGGAGAAGCGTGAGCAATACCTGGAATCGCTCAACCAGGAGTGGTACGAAACCCAGAACGCCAGGCGCAGCGCACACAGCGTCCCCGACTACAGCATTCAATTTCCCACGATCCCTGCCCAGCGCACCAGGAATGCCGTCGCATACAACACTGAGGTGGCCTATCTCGCTGGCCTCGCCAAACATGAAGGCTTTCCCGCGGTTCCTGCGATGCGAGGTGCAAGCGCTACAGAAATTGATGACGATCTGGAAGCTATCAAGGTATGTTAAAACAGCAGGACTTGTGTCGGGAAACTTTCTTGCTAACGACGGTCAGCGAGCCTCGCGTTCTCGCCAGAGATCAATCATGCAGCCTCTTGAAGACTACCAAGCCGTTTCATTTGGAGGCACGCTCGGCCCGGCCGGCGAACAGTTTATCAAGAACACGCCTTGGGCAAACCCCAACCACATCTCCCACAAGATGCAACATGTGCCTCTTCACTCTGAGCCCGGCACCAGCGCCGCCATGCCCTCGGCGCCGCCACAAGCTGGTCCCTCGCATGCGGGCCACCACCACCACCACCATCACCACCATCATCAGCAGCAGCAGCAACTGCCGCCGCCGCCGTCAAACGGACAGGCAACATCCCAGCAGTCACCAACACTATCAGCCGTGTCTCCAGAGACGTTGCGAACGGCCAGCGTCCTCAGCCAGGGCGTCCACATGAAGCATGCGGGAATGGGCGGTGTGGGCCGCGGATCCAAGGCAGTACAGGCACAGGAGCCGGCATCGAAACAGGATATGCCCATGGCTGTGGCAACCTAAGCGGCGCAATCACCGGGCGGCAATTTCGGCGTTTCATTTGCGGAGGGCGCTCACACGTGCGATGATACCCAGGCCACAGGTGACACAGGGCCTTTGTTTTCGGATGTCCATACTCGGCGCGCCACCGCGCGCAACTAGAACTGCTGGCATTAACAGAGGCGCATATGCGCTCCTCACAGAGGGAGGGAGTTTTCATGTCCTCGAGACGAGCGGTGGCAGAGGCAGGGGGCTTTGCTTTGTGTAATGAGAAATGTACAGGATACGGGATAGGGGGGGGCAGTGATGGGAACCTAGCACAGGTGTTTTCGGCAGCATCGATCGCATATAACTCAATGGAGTCAGTCATCAGTGAGAATGTCAAGAGCTCAATGGCGGCAGCACCTGAATTCCTGCTTAGTGATTTGGTCGAATTCACTCTGAGTCGTCAATAATCAAGCATTGGAGTGTGAGCGTGAGCGTGAGCAGGGGTCCTGGCGGAATGCACACCGCGGGGTGCAGGCCTATCGATAAGGCGGGCTCCACCAAAAAAACTGTTCCCAGCCTTTGCGTTCAACTTCACCATTGAGCTCTGCACGACACACTCGACTGCCGCCTTGTCGCCACTGTCCATTGCATCGATAGACCGAGCGAATATACCCCTTGCCAACGCTCGTTCTTCAATCTGCCCGGCGTGTCAAGAAGCAACGAAAATAAAAAAGACTGGCCAATATCAGACCCACAGCCCACGATGCTTCGTCAAGTGTGAGTCTCGGATGCCAGCAGCCTCTCTACACCGACCGTACATCTGACCAGAACAGCAAGCCGCGCAATGCGCGAAGCAAGCGCGCCCTCGCCGATCGCGAGCCCAAGGTCGTCGAAAACCCCAAGCGTCTCATGGCCCTCAAGGGCTCGACGTGCAGCCAGGTCGTGCAGGATGCGCTGAGCAACCTCTGCATCATGCGGGAGCCGCTCGTCAAGAAGTACGACTCAGCCCCCCTCCGATCCCCCCTCCCCCTGTCTGATATTCTCGAGGGAAGAAAGAAAATGGTCATTAACAGGCATGTGAAAACAGGCTCACGAAGAAGAACGAGATCCACCCGTTTGAAAAGGCCGACTCGCTCGAGTTCCTCGGCGAGAAGAACCAGTCGTCCCTCGTCATGTTCGGGTTCCACTCGAAGAAGCGGCCGCACACCATCACGTTTGCGCGCCTCTTTGCGCACAAGGTGCTCGACATGCTCGAGATGCACCTCGACGTCGACACGTTCCGCCAGCTCGAGCAGTTCAAGGGCGCCAAGTTCGCCGTCGGCCAGCGGCCCATGGTCGTCTTCTCCGGCACGGCGTGGGACTCGCCCGTGGCCAACGAGTACACCATGGCCAAGAGCATGTGGACCGACTTCTTCAAGGGCGAGCCGTCGGACAAGGTCGACGTCGAGGGCCTGCGCTACCTCGTCAGCCTGTCGGTCGAGGAGGAGGGGCTCGCGGGCGCCAAGCCGCCGATGCGTCTGCGCGTGTACACGATCCGCACGAGGCGGTCCGGCCAGCGGCTGCCGCGCGTCGAGGTCGACGAGATTGGCCCGCGCATGGACTTTCGCGTCGGCCGCATGCAGCAGCCCGAGGAGGCCGTGCTCAAGGAGGCCATGCGCCGGCCCAAGACGACCGAGGAGCGCACCAAGAAGAACATCAAGACGGACGAGATTGGCGACAAGGTCGGTCGCGTGCACACGGGCCGCCAGGACCTCAGCCAGCTGCAGACGCGCAGGATGAAGGGTCTCAAGCGCAGCCGCGACGTTGCCGACGACGATGCGGCGAGCGACGACGAGGTCAAGACGGACAAGAGGAAGAAGAACTGAGGCAATGTCCCGGCGATGGATGGGAAGGGGGGGATGGGGGTTGTCATATAGGTGGACCGTGCTAGGTGATGTGGGTTCTTGCTTCTGCGTCTCTTTCTTGGGCTGGCGTTCGGGAAGGGAGGGGATGCATCTCTGGCTTGCGATATAAAACGAGAAAACGGCGTCGTGGCTGTTTCGGTCCTTCGGACATGCTCTAGACAGGATTCGGTTATCATCATGCTATTCCGTTCGCCCTTGTCTACTTGAACCGTCATGTGCGTAACACACCAGAGTGGCATCGCTTGTTTGTGTGCTTTGCTTACTTTGAAACCTATTCTCTTTGGATCAAGGGTTGTCTAAATGATTCCTCTGCCAGAACTCGAATCATCATGTCCAAGCCTGATCCCCCACCAAAGTCTGATCCCAGCCGTTTGTACCCAAAATGTGACCCAGAACGCGCTATATATATGCTATGAAAAGATTGCCCCCCCAAACCAAGATTCCATGATACCACTCGAATCACCACCATAAGCGTCGAGTAGGTGAATCAATTCTCTCAAACGCCTGCTAGTCCTCTCAAGGCGTGCTCAAGGAGCAGGGGCCAAGGACTAATACTCACACGACGCCGCCCGTCAAATCCCGAGCTACCCAATATCCAACCAGAAATGAAGAAGAAGAAAAGAAGCCAATAAGGGATGATCCCGAAAACCTGGGTCAGCAGCGCCTCGGCAATCTGACACCATGTGACCTGGAGCTGCGTCTTTGTTCCGATCTGCCTTTTCTCTTCTTTTGAAAAAAATCTGACATCAGCCGGATCACCCGAGAACCGCATCACCGGGGATGGGAATCGGCGGCAGCGACTGGGCCTTGGCCAGCATGCCAGCGAGGATCTCAATGTGGTTGACAAACGTCTCGTTGAGCATGGTGGAGCCCTTGTCCGTCTTGCCCTCCTCGGTGACCCAGTCGGCGCCCCAGACGTCGGGCGGGATGACGGCGCCGTCGTAGAGGGCGATGCGGACGGGCCACTCGAGGTGGGCCCACCAGGGGCTCGCGGCCTCGAACTGGGAGACGATGCCCATGACCTCGCGGCGGGCGGCGCCGTGCAGCCACCAGACGTTCTCGATGCTCTTGAGGCAGGCGAAGAAGCAGGCGAGCACGACGAGGGCGCGCGGACGGCGGGCCTCGATCAGGTCGAGGAAGCGCTTCGACACGGTGGCCGGGAAGGCGAGGGCGGCGCCGCGGTGCGGGATCTTGTGCGCCCAGTTGAGGACGGCGACGGCGTGGAGATAGGTCTGTTTGGTCGCCATGGCCGTCACGGGGCACGGCTCGGCGGCGAGCTCGTCGTCGAGGTCCGTGAGAAGGTGGCCGAAGAAGGACGTGGGCGCGCAGCCGTCGAGGTCGAGCTGCAGCACGGGCTGCGAGTCGATGATGGGTATGACGATGCCCGAGGAGCGGAGCCAGGGCCAGGACGAGGCGACGACCGTCTTGACACCCTGGAAGGCGTGGAACCACGACAGCGGCAGCGTGTAGACGCTCGAGGGGTCGGCCGGGTTCGCGTCGTCGCGGATGAAGATGCGCGAGGCGGACGACTGAAAGGCGATTAGGGTCGCCGTCAGGAAGAGCGCCTCGGCGTTGGACTCGTTGATCCCTTCGTTCAGAGAGGCGCAGTACGCGGACAGAGACGAGGCCATGTAGGAGTGGGAGGCGCGGGCGAGGTCCTTGTCGTCAGGGTTGAAGGAGCGGAGGTGAAGGGCGGCGACGGCGAGCATGGCGTCGGCAAGATAGTTGGCGCCGCTAAAGGCGAGGCGGGGGACTGTGTTCTGCCAAATGTCGTCGGTGATGGGCGAGTTCACGACAAGGGTGCGCGATGTCATGGATGTGTACTGGTGCATCAGGCGAAGCTCGAGGAGACGGTTCGTCGGGGACTTGGTGCTGATGGTGGGCGTCGACGGCATGGTGTAGAGTGGTGTGGCAAATGACAAGGCCGGTGATGTGACACCTTGTGACGGTGTCTTGAGGTCGCTGAGCGATGGTATGGTGGGAGAGGAGGCAGGCGTCGAGGCATCTGCTGCTGAGACCGTTGTCGAGGCGGGGGCGGGGGCTGCTGGCGATGGTGCTGAGGCGGTAGCGACGAGATCTTCGACGATGTCGGGGTTCTGAAAATCGCATGCCACGCCGTGTTTGAGGCAGTTGCCACATCGTGGATGAACTTCATCGCACTACAGTCGCGTCTCGTCAGATCCGAGGTTCCGGTGTTCCATGGCGAGTGGGGAGAGAAGGCAGCGGTGGAGGGGACTGGCGTTACCTTGATCTTGCGCGACTTGCACCGCCGACAGCCTGCCCTCGATTTCTTGTGTGATCGTCGGGGAGGCATCCTACGGGGCGTGAATAGGTATGGAGGGATACGTGTTCGAAAGCCTAGGGTTGAACTAGGTATTCAGGCGCATTGCGCAGGTTGAAGTAGATTTGGTGTTGCTCGGAGAGTATAGTCCTTCAGCAGCGACAATGATGGCACGTAGTTCGAGTGCCCAAGGCAAGTGATTCGCTGTATTGTACTACCAGTCGTGATAGTCCGCAATACACGTAAGGGCGTCGCTTTGACGCTCAAAGGGGTCAATCTGATGGTGGTCGATTGGCAAAGGCAAATGGCAGGTGATCAGTGAAGTCGTCGTGTAGGTACCTTAGTGGGAAAGACAGCGGGGGGTTGCGAGAGACCTGAGCTGACAGGGGCTGCCTGCACACTCCGACTCCTGCCTACACACTGTCTGCCCAGGGCTCAGCCACGCTAGCGCTGTAAGGGCCCGCCCTGTCAGTGGTCATTCAGCGCTATTCGATTGGAGCCTGTGCCTGAAGGAAGTTCCGTTCAGGGGGGCCCATGGATGGAGTGTGGGGGGGGGGGGGGGGGGGCGAAGCGGGAGAACAGGGGCACAGTACGAGAGGGTTGGACACGGTGTGGCTTCAACAGATCCGCCGCAGCCACAGGTGCAGGTGCACGGCCAGACTCCACGTCCCGGAGCCGAAGCAGCCATCGGACGGGCGCCGGAGAGCGGGGCGATTGTATTCCGACCGGGTATGGTGGATACGCCGGTGTCCTCCTACGATGGGATGGATTGCGTGATGCCCATGTGCTGCTGCGCTTGCAGCGCGCCGAGGAGGGTCGGAGGGGGGCGCAGTGTGGCGTGGGGTGGACACGTACTGCGCATGAGATCTCAGGCGTAGATCCACAGATCTGGGGGAGCGAGGTTCGAGCTGACAGCCTGCGTATACAGCCCTGTGCCAGCCTGTGCCAGCCTGTCTTTGCCAGGCACGAAATGGCCGTTATTGGACCGGACGTCCAGGGCATCCGATGATGTGATCAAGCAGCAGCGACAAGATGGAGGGGGGTTTCCCAGAATATGAGAGCTTCAACAACGCGCCATTCGAAGGGCTGTTCTTGGTGCAACATCCCCATCCTCAGTGGTTTTACAGCCTACCTTGGCGGATACTCGGCGTTTGAAGGACGGTGCGTGACTGGGTTGTCGGGGTTTGCTATGGACGCGTCAAAACCATTGGCGGCATTCAATACGATTTTAACACGCGCCTCCGGCGGGCGAGAAAAGTGAGCGAACCCAAGATGCGGGGTCGAGTGCGATGAGGCCCGTGAAAACATGCGCAGGATGGGGGACCATATGCAACATGGGTTGTCTGATCCATGTGTGCGAGTCCGTGTGTCTTGTGTGGCTCAACAGAAAGGACTGCCAGGAAAAAAACCAAACCATCTCGAGTCGCTCGTGGTTGGCGTTGTTGGAAGGAGAATAGCACCAGGGTCTGGCCCCTCCATGATCCTTGAAGCATCGGCCGTACCATTGGTCACGTCTGACCCGAAAGTGGCCGTTCGTCGAGCCGCGCCCCTCGGGTTTCGGCTTTGAAATACACCTGACGGACAAGCCTGATGATGTCAGGACAGAAACAGATGGACAGACAGCACAGACTTGTCGGCAGGGCGCGTGCGACACGCTGCCTTGGCCGCATGTTGTGATACTGGTCCAATATGTCAGCAGCATGAGCATCAGCATCAGCATCAGCCCCCGGAGTGTCGCTCTCCAGACGGCCGCAATGACCGGATTGATCATGCCGCCGCAAAATGACGGAAGCGCCCTGGGAGGCCAGGTTCGAGTCGAGGGTACCATGTAATTAAGCACCTTCCAGGTTCTCGATCGGAAGTGCTTGAGCGGGCTCCTCTCTCGTTCGTGGACCTTCTGGAAAGCGGAACGGCTTCTAGCGGTGAGCTCAAACCCGATGTTTTCATCTGGACATGGGATAGTCTGCTGTCCCTCCTTCCGTAATGGTGACTTTGCTCCATGTCCATCGATTAGATGAGACCCAAGATAATGCAGCAAGGGGCCACTACGGATGTCGCCATCGTTGATCACATCATACCGATGCGAACGCACCCAAGAGGTCGTCTCGAGACATGGGCAAAACCTAAAACAATGGTTAAGGGACAAGCAAGCATGCGGAGGGGCCTTGTTGATCACGACATTGCTGGACCAAAGACATGGTCGAGTCGAGGGAGCAGTGTGCACCCGGAAGGGGAAGGGAGGGAAACGGCCAGTTGGGGGGGGGGGCGTCGTTGAGTCATCATCGGGTCAGAGACGGGATTGCGTGATCGAGCTTGTCCCAGAGCCGCAGCCGCCGAAGGGGAAAAAAAAAGTTGAA